TTTGGGAAACTTGACCGTTTTTTAAATAAAAAATATTGTAATATTTGAGGGGTGGTTTCACCCTCTTGGAACTGGAATTTCGAAAAATCCCTTCTTATCGAACATCTACACCCTAGAATCAACCAGTATGCCAAAATTGAGCTTCTTACGTTGATTGGTTTGAGCAGGATCGTGATTAATCAGTATGTCAGTCACTTAAGGATTTTATATATTACTATAGATTATTACACAAACAAATTCTAATTAACAAGTTGATTTCTCTATACTTAATACGATTTATATAAAACTGACATTACAGGAGTGGCCATGTAGTTATTATTATGTCACATAATTTTAATTTTCATCATGATGAAAACTTGTACAGACTCCTCAAGATGTTTTGACTGAGTCCGATACAGACTTCCTACACTGTATTATTGTATTTTGTCGATGGCAAGGTTAAAGCTGGCGCGCCCAAATTCATACGAGGAAGTACCGTACTATTATAAAAAGCCCACAGCCGAAAATACGAACCATCAGTCGATTGTTTTTTAAACGAGCAACAAGAACTACCCTAACCAAAACTACAATGTACAAATTTGTAAGTTCTTTTCTTTTTTGTCGTCTTAAAAATTATATAGTATGTACTTCCAAGTACTTCTGGCATAAAACATAATATTTTTTTTTAATATTGATTAATTATTACTATTAAATCATTTGCTTTATTAAGGTTGTATAGTATGAGTCAAAAAAAATATTTCAATTTAAAATTTTAGCTGAGTAAACTTTTATTTTAGTAAATTCTTTTACTAAGTTGTATCCTAAAATGTTTGATAGAAAATATTATATTTAAAGTAATTTGAATAATTATTTGCTTATTATAACAAACTATTAAGTGTCTTAAGGAAAATATTTTTTATAAAATGTTAATTTCAAAAATAGTATATTGTTTTATTAGGAGTAAAAATTGTACTTTTTGTCGCCAGGCACAAAAAGTCATTTTTACTCCGAATAGAACATGCTATTTTTTTTGAGAGTCACAAATAATTTTTTAAACTATTTCAAATGTTACAAATAATATAATGGTATATTCTTTTATTAGGAGTAAAAATGACACTTCTTGCTGTACGTTTGACATACATTTGACGACATTGCAGCCGAGACACAAAGGGTCATTTTTACTCCGAATAGAACATGCTACTTTTTTCAAACGCCACAAATAATTTTTAAACAAAATTTCATACCTTCCAAGTAATACAAAAAGATTTAAAAGTCATACCTGTAATTGTATATCGAGAAACTATGGTTACGCTTGTTGAATTTGACACTTGATATCAGTTTAATTATATTTTTTCGTTCTTTTATGCCTAAAGCGTTAAAATGACTTTTTTTATATTGTCAATCACGTCGCAAAAATTAATACTTTTGTGACGCTTGAAAAAGAAACTAAGGTTTCACTCGTTGAATTTGACACTTCATGTCAGTTTAATAATATAGTTTCATACTTTTGTGCTTAGGTGTAAAAGTGCTTTAGGCGTTAAAATGACTTTTTTATATTTAAATTTATAATGCTCTATACAGGAGCTACAACTATATATTTTTATTTCACTTCAGTTGGTACTCGCAGCCACTTTGGCTCGCCGCCGCTGGCCACATCGCCCTTTCCCCCGTGGCTTACTCCGCCCCTGTAGTGGCAGCAGTCCCCTCAGCAGGTATCGTCCACAAGAGCGTCCAAGCCCAAACCATCGTCGACCCTCCAGTAGTCAAAACCGTCATTCAATCCGCACCTGTAGTAGCTTACTCCGCCCCTGTAGTACACGCTGCACCCGTAGTAGCTCACGCTGCACCCGTAGTAGCTCACGCTGCACCCGTAGTACACGCTGCACCAGTTGTAGCTCACGCTGCTCCCGTAGTACACGCTGCACCCGTAGTAGCTCACGCTGCACCAGTAGTAGTATCCGGCCCATCAGTACACAAGACTGTCCAAGCTACCAACATTGTGCACAGAGCTCCAGAAGTACACACTGAAGTCCACGCCGCTCCCGTTGTGCTCAAGACTGTACACGCTGCTCCCCTTGTACATGTCCATTAAAGTCTGACGAATGTACCTAATTCTCGCAAGTGCCAAAAAAATCGATTTTTTTTAAAAATAAATCTATAGTTTAAAAAGTGTGTAGGTGTTTTATTTGTGTTTGTAGTCGTACCAAAGAAATATCTTTTGGTTGTGTGGATAGCACTGAATATTGCCAAACATCTCATTTAATTTGATCAAAAGTAACTAAAGAACATACTGGTTTATTTACTGGTCCCAAATCTAACAAACCAATAATATAGAGGGTGTTCCATTTAAAAATTAAAACGAAGAAAAATTATTTTATATTTTAGAAAGTTTGGCATAAAATGTTGAACACCCTGTGTAGTTTAAGATTACGATATTGATAGCAAAGGAAGTACAGACCAACTATTTTTTGTATTTTTAATACTTTTTTAAAAAAGGCTGAAAACGCTTCTTTTTTATATTTATTTATTAATATTTTTAAATTATCCAAACATATTTAATAATACATATAGATTATGTAAAGTGATCAGAAAGGAAACCAAAAATGTAATAATACACAGGGTGTTCGTTAAAAATGACAAATGTAAATGAGTCATAATCTTTGGACAGTAAATAAAACAATTCATTATGTAATATACTATTATCGACCTTTCTTTCTTCAATTATATTGAAGAAGACAAATTTTATTATGTCAATTTAATACGAATTTTGTTTTCTAGTACATTTTGATGAATAAAAGCCAATTATTTCTGCTATCTCCGTAATATGTACCATTCCAAGTGATTAAGTCGACAAATCAGAGCCGTAACCATCCCAACTGACCCATTAATCACGAAAACCGCAAAAATTAATCTCGCTTCAGCCGTTTATCGATGCGTAAGACCCAAATAGAGATGGCCAA